AGAGCTCTTGTGAATGGGAAGGGTCAAGGGGAAGGGAACAAGCATTTATTAAGCACCTACTTTATGCCAGGCACTGTGCTAAGTGTCTTGCAAATATTATCTCATTTGTTATTTATTTAATATTTTTTCCCAATTACATTTAAAACAATTTTTAATATTAGGTTTTCTTTGTGAGTTGTAAATTCTCTCTCTATCTCCCTCATTGAGAAGGCAAACAACAAATATTATCTCGTTTGAATGAAAAGGGAGTTACATGGGTCATTTCTTTATGGGTATCCTTTCTTCATGGGAAACCATTCATTTAAAAGACACTTATTAAGTGCCTGGCACTGAGGATACCAGACATAAATGAAACAATCCCTAACTTCAAGGGATTTACATTCTACTTGGGGAGGGGAAGAAGAACATGTATAGATGTAATATGAAATATACACAAAGTCATTTCAGGGGATGAGGAGAGGCAGTAATACCAGTTCTACTGTCCTTGTGTGAAGGTTGGTTTTATGTTGGTAGTAGAGATGAGAGAGGGCATCTGTTTGCCTTAGGTCAAGAATGCCACAAGCTTTTTTCTTCATTGTCTCCTGCCTTAGTGGAGCATGGGGAGGGGAAGCATATTTGCTCCTCTAATGCTGGCTCATCAGGAGATGCCCAGATAGCCTTCTCTCACTGGCCACAAATGGAGTTGTAGATACAAGTGTGATCAGGGTGGGGATGGAACAAGAGGTAACCCTAGTCTCAGAGATAAATTATATTTTGACCCACAGTTATCTTATCTTTTCAGCTGAAATGATTTCTTCTGGTTGTTAAATGCCCACAGAAAAGTCAAATATTACTGCATGTGAGAAATGGCTTTTTCCATAGAGTCAATTTGTCACTTGCGGTCTCCAAGTCAGAGCCTTGCCTTTCTATAATCTATAAAGTCCTTCTGACCTGGACTAAACTGGTGTTTCTCCTTGCCCGTCCTCCTTACCATGGCTCCTTACAGTTAGCAAAGGAGACACCCCAAGGCCTTAAGAAGGTAAGTAACTTGTCCATGGTTACATGACTCAATCTATAGCAGAACTGGGATAAAGGATAGATGTATGCTGCTCAGAATTCAAGGTTTTTCCATCAACTACATGTTCTCACTTCCAACCCATTTCCCCTTCATAAAAGGAGAGTAAGATGGTTCTCAAAGTGTGATCTGGGGAAATCTGGAAGTTTCTGAGATGCGGAGGTCCATAAGTTCAAAAATATTTTTATAATAACACTAAAGCATTTAAATTTCTAATATGGTAAATGTCAATAGATATAAACCACATAAACAAAAGCTCTTTGGAGAGGGAGGTCCTCAATAAATTTTAAAGGGGCCCTGAGACCAGAACCTCTGGTGTAGTGGAAGAAACGTTGGGCACAGACACCAAGTGTTCAAGTCTGAGCTCTGACATTTACTTGCTGAATGACTTCAGACAAGTCATTTCTATTCTGTGAGTTGATGTGAAATGGGGGAGAGGGGTGTCTATAAGACTCGCTATATGACCTTGGGTAAGTCACATCCCCCCAGGTAAATTGAAAATGAAGGGGTAAGATCAGAAGATTTCAAAGTCTCTTCTAGCTCTAGTCTGTGGTTCATGTTCTTTCCTGGTGCTACCCCTAGCCTCACGTCTTGCTCATTTTCTAGCCGTGAGTCTGTTCCCTATATCTCCCTCACTCCAAGAATTTGTTTCTGACATCGTAAGGTTACTCTCCCGAAGAAGCAAAAGCACCCACTTCTTTCTCATCCCTAGCTTATCCCTAATTCACCTCTTCCAAGTAGCCTTCTCTAACAGCCTCATCCCCAAACCTTTACCTGTCATTCATGTCCCCTCAGCTTACACTTCATTATCATGTCTTTATAACCTGGTTTGGTAACTCTATAATTAATTGTTTCCAGTTCTGGTCTTCTGTGCTCCAAATAGATTATAAACTCCCAGAGAGTAGGGACATTGTCTCTTTGACATTTTCCTTCCCTCACACGCTTAAATCTAGTTAAGTGTCTACTATATGGCACAGTGCTAAGTGTTTTGCAAATATTATCTCATTTGAATGAAGAAGGAGATACATAGTCCATTTCCTTTATGGTATCCTCTCTTCTGAAATAAACCGCATACACACCCCTACATAAATAGATAAATAACAAACCCTGTAATTTTTTTATCTGAGACAGTGAGACAAGTGCTGAATTTGGAGTCCTGTCTCTAAACCCAGAGCACTGGGCACATAGTAAGTATGTGCTCAAGAAATACTTTCTGCAGCCCTCACTGATCTGCCTCGGGACTTTGCCTGGTTTGGTAAAGCCTTTTCTTTTCCTCTTTGCTTTCCTGGTTCTTTACTCTTGCTGTTGTCAATAGGTTAAAATCCTGGGTCAACCACTATTTATGACCTGGGTTTCAGTTTCCATTTATGGGAAGTGAGGTGGTTGGACTAGATCATTTCTTAGGTTCCTTCCTGCCCTAAATCCTATGATCCTTTAATTATTAGGGGCTGGGGTAGTGGTAGGGGGAGGGTGTGTGTGTGTGTGTGTGTGTGTGTGTGTATGTGTGTATGTGTGTGTAAAGTTTATATTAGAATAGTTTCAAACAAAAGTTGAACATAGAAATTAAATCCTCTCATTTCCTTACTCAGATACTCTTCCCTCCCCCATTCATTCTTTATTGATCCTTTGAGTTTTTTTCTTTTTACCATACTCCCTCTCCTATCCCTCTTCCTTGATCATAAGATTTAGTGCTGAAAGGCCCCTTAGTGGTCATCTGGTCCAACATCCTCATTTTACAGATGAAGAAACTGAGGCCCAGGGAGAGACAGTGACCTATTCCCTTCTCTCTACTCACATAATTTCCACAATAGTTCAGCCTTTCATTACCCCTCCCTTTCCTATTGCAGTATTCTCCTCCTTAGCCTCGCTGCCTCAAGTCTCTCCCCTCTCCCCTCCATCTTTCACAGCTTTGATGCCAAAATGATCTTGCCTTTTGCACAGGTCTCTGTGTCACTTACACACTAAAACTTCAGCCTGTCCCTTTTGACTGTTTACACTTCCAGGGTCAGATATAAAATCTGGCGCTTAAAGCCCTTTGAAGCCTGACCCCTATCTAGACTCATTACATATTCCAACCTTTCAGGAATTTTGCTCTCCAGCCAGAGTGGCCTTTCTGTTGTTCCTTACTCACAGTTTTCTACCTTCCATGCCTGGGGTTTATTCTCTCTACCCCTCAAACCCTTTTCAAACCCCAACTCAAGTGTCACCTTGAGGTTTTTTTTTCCCTGACCCTCCCTGGCTTCTAGTGTAGGTTTCCGACCCCTGCTATAGTGCCTCCCTGTCCCCAATCTATGTATTTAGTATATAATGATGCCAGATACACATACATACATGTATGTATATGTACATGTTGCCTCTCCGTCTCTCCACCCCACCCCAATACTGTAAGCTCCCCGAAGTCAAGAACTGTATTACTTTTGTCCTTATTCAAGTGCAGTATCCAGCCCATAGTAGATGTTAAATAAATAAATATGTTTTTTAATTGATTACTAAAGCCCATATAGGTATCGAAACCAGACTGGAACCCTGATCCAAATCCAGCACTGTTCTCACTGTCTCAGTTAAAAGAAAGCTGTATTTCAAGGGCTTTGGGGGTGGGGTGGGGTGGGGAGTGTGGTTTATTTTAGTCAAATTCGCTATTATTTTTTAAACATTCTGTTATCAACGGCTTGAATTAAACTGCTAGTTTTCAAAGATGATTTGACTCACGCACCCCTTTGTGTATGCAGAGACACAAAAGACGAGAAAAAGATTCTATAACAATTTGAAAAGGAAAAAAAAAGAAATCAAATGAGTCATTTGACATCGTGTAATCACTCATTAATCACTTTTTTAAAAATTCAGCATTTTTAAGCTTCACACACAAAACAAAAAGCGCTCCCTCCTCAAAAACAACAAAAACAAAAACAAAAACCCAACAACAACCTAGAAATCAGTTAAAGTGATTTATCTGTCTGTGCATTGGAGACCACTACAAGTCCCACACACACACACAAAAAATGTTCAGAATTCACTCGTTTACAGGGTGTCGGACTCCATTCTGGACAGTAAAAATATGCTATCCTCCCTTGTTGAAGACTGGTTCCTGGTTTGGGATGAGTGAATGGTGTGTCTTGCCACCGAACTTCTGCAGGCAAAAATTGGTGGGTTATTGGTGACTTTCTTAAACTCTAGGAGCTGGAATATCTTCGCTAGACGCTAGACACGAGAACGAGCGGCTTCTGCCTCCCAGTTCCAGGGGAATAAATGGGCTCCCGCTCGGACCCGGCTCAAGCACTGCCCCGCCAGGAGGCTAGCTAGAGAAGAGGACCGAGCATCTGACATCTCATCTCCTCTGGGGAATGTTGTTCTATTGATCAAAGGGCTCGGAGGAGCGAGAGAGATTTATCTCCATAGACATGCAGATTTCTGCAAAGGGAAAAGGAGCCACTGGGCGGCCTAAAAGGGGGAAAGGAGGAGGCGGGATCTAAGGAAGGTGTTTAAGGAAAAAAACAGGCGAGAACCTTACCTCCAAAGCGCTGAACTACTGAAGCCCAACCAAGACAGAATGGTGGGCGGGTGCGGGGGCAAGCAGAGGAAGGGGGAATGGGGACTCAACCCCCGATCTTGGAATCACCCAGGCACTCTGAAGCTTGAGGAAGGGATTCTCAGGCACTGCGGATTCCGGGAAGCGTTCTCCCAGCCCCAACCTGAGTCCTCCCCACCCATCTCCCCAGAAAATCGTCCGTTCCCTCGGAAGAGTTTGGTTTCCCATAAGGGCATTAAAGCGGTCTCTCCATCCCTGGTCGTTCCCAAACCATCCCTGACCCCTGGCTGGAGCGGGTCAATCCTGCGCCCCCGCTCCTCTACGCACACAGCTTCCCCTCTTCCCGGCTACCGCTGGGGCTGTTGGGGGGGGAGGGGTTGGAACAAGTATAGGGGTCCCTTTACCCGCCCATTTTCTTACCTGGATGACCAAGAGGTGAGGGCGGCGTCCCATCCTTGGGGTTCTCTGGGGGCCCGGGACACCTGGCTTACTGGCACATCCCCAGAAGGGCACGGCCAAGCTCGGTCTAGGTTGCTTGCTTGCTAACGAGCTGCGGGGGAAAGCCGGAGGTAGCGCGACTGCTAGAGGAGGGAGGCAGCTCTAGCTCCGAGAGTGGGAGCCCAGAGGGATGGGGAGGGAGAGCGGGGTAAGGAGCGGGAGGGGACCGCGGCGCTGGCACCGGGCGAGCAGGGGATTGCAGGGGAGGGGAGACAGAGGAGCGCCAGGTGCTCCTTTACAAGGCGGCACTGCCCGCCCGGCTCCTCAGCTCTGTCCCCGGCGGACAGCCAGCAGCCCGGTCACATTTGCTGCCAACAACCGGCTGCTTCTCCCGTCCGCCCCCAGCTTCTCTCCCGGTTCCCTCCGGCAGCGCCACCTCTTCTTCCTAAGCCGCTTCCCGCCCAGTTCTTAAGGGAGGGCACTGGTCTAGCCTGCGCCTGGCAGTCAGGAGCTCCGCATCGCCCCCGCCACTTCTCTCCTCCTTCTCCTTTTCCTCCTCCTCCTCCCTGTCCTTTCTTGCCTCTTTCTCTTTCCTTCCTACCTCCTCCTCTCCTCTCCCTTTTCCTCCTCTCCCCTTCCCCCTTCCCTCCCTCCTCCTCCCTCTGCCCCCTTTCCTCCTCTCTCCTCTCCTCTCTGCTCGCGCTCCCCTCCCTTCTCTTCTAGCGCTCCCCCCTCACCCCTCCACCCTGCCCGGCTAATCACTGACCCCTCTTCCCTGCCCCCCTCTCAGTTTGCAGCAATCAGTTGAGCGCGGCTCCTGCGCCGCCAGTTTCAGGGACCGCAGTCCGAGAAGAACCTAGGAGATTGGGACTGGGGCGAGAGTGGGGGAAGGGGGGAGGAGACTAAGAACCCCTCTTCCACTCGCTTCTTGGAAAGGCTGCGGAAGATAGAGACTTGCGGGACATAGGGGGAGAGATCAGGCGAGACATACTTCTGGGACATAGAGTGGGTCTGATTGGAAGAACAGAGGCGGGAGGGGTGAGGTGGTCTGTAGAGGGTGCCCCTCCACCACCGCTTCCTGGGAACCGGGCTGGAGAGGGAAGGAAGGCTAGCAGTAGTTTTGGAAGCTCAGGATTGCGTTTGGGTGTTTCCCGACCCATCCCCCACAGCCCCTCCTCCGATCTAGCCCTGCCATCTCTCCTTTCTTTGCTATTCGCGAAGGGGGTCCACAACTCCAGGCCTGAGTGGTAGGGTATGGGCACTCCCTGATCTTTGTAGCATCTACTCTTCACTCCTCCATAGCCCTTCTATGTTTCAGAGACAGTTCCCTCATTTACAGAATAACACCCCCACCCCCTCCACCTAGACCCTATCAGGAGGCTATGCCGTTTCCTCTTGGCCAGTGGGGAGAGAAAGATATCCATAACGTTGGAATCCAGGCTCCTTAGCCCTTGTTACCCATCCTTGCTGCCCAGCGCCGGGTTGACCGTCTGTCTCCCCAGCCCCCAGATCACTGGATATAGCTTTGGTATACAAAACAGAACTTTGAGCTCACTTCCTGGGGCTAGAGATTTGGTTCCTGGATCCATCTTCAATTCTATTTAGCAAAAATTCGTTGAGTGTCTACCACAGTGCAAATGCTAGGGAGAAGTACAAAGATAAATAAGATGGGGTCCCTACCCTTAGGAAGCTTACCATCTTGTAGGGGAGGTGACATGGACACAGACAACCGTTTTACAAGGCAAAATACGATGCTCCATGAAAGAGGTGCAGTGCTAAGGGAGTAAAAAAAAAAAAAAAAAAAAAAAAGGACAGATCACTTCTGGCTGGAGCAAGTGGGGAGGGAATTGGAGAAAGCTCCTTGGAGGAGGTGTCATTTTGACTGGGCCTTGAAGGATAAGTCTGAATAAGACAGGAAGAGATAGGAGTAAGGGTGGGGAAGCAGTGGGGAGGAGGAAAGGGGAGAGTCATCCAGAACCAGCACGTACAAAACGTAAGGAATATTATAATCTGAATCAAGCTTCTACCTTGGCTATCCTGAGTTTTCCTCTACCAATTCCTTCAAGACTCAACTCAGGGGACATTAAATGCACTGTAGGATTTAGTCCTTGTGTCAATATTGCTTAACAGCTCCTTGTTACAAGGGAGGATTCACGTGGGTCAAAGATGGTCTATATCTGAAAAAAAAAGATATAAAAAGCATCAGTAAGCCTTTTTTTAAAATCAATTTTTAATAAAAAGATAATCCCAAATCACTTCAGAAATCAGCCAACCAGCCAAAGGTATTTATTATGTGCTAGATGCTGGGGGTATAAATTAAAAGGATGAAATAGTCAAAGAGCTTACACGCTAGCTAAGGAGACAAGAGAGCAGCAAGGTGTCATAGTGCACAAGAGCACCAGGCCTGGAGTCAGGAAGACTCCTCTTCCTGAGTTCAAATCTGGCCTCAGACACTTACTAGCTGTGTGACCCTGGGCAAGTCACTTCACCCTGTTTGCCTCAGTTTCCTCATCTGTAAACTGAGCTGGAGAAAGAAATTGCAAACTGCTCTAGTATCTTTGCCAAGAAAATCCCCAAATGGGGTCCTAAAGAGTTGATGTACGTGAGCACACACACACACACACACACACACACACATAGAGGAATAGACAGAATAAATACCAAATAGTTAAATACAAGGATGTTTAGGAGGGAGTGCAGTAGTAGTGGTGGTGGTAGTGGATGAGGAAAGACTTCATCTTGAAGAAAGAGAGACTGCGTGAGGTAGAGGTAAGGAAGGAGAACATCCCAGCAATGGGAGATAGTTAATACAAAGGCAAAAAGAAGGGAGATAAAGTTCTGTGGTTGAGAAGCATTGATAAAGCCATTTTGGTTAGATCGCAGAAACTGTGGAAAGCAGTCTAGTCCGATGAGGCTGGAAAGACAGGCTTGTGCCAGATTGTAAAGGACTTTAAAAACTAAACAGTTTGTATGTGATCCTGGAAGCAACAGGGAGCTATTGGAACTTGTTCAGTGGAGGGATGACACAGTCAGATCTTTGGGAAGATCTGATGAAGTGAAGGGAAGGGAGGAGAAAGAAAGGAAATAAGCACTTATATGGAGTCTACTATGTGCCAGACTCTGTGCTAAGTGCTTTTTATAATATTATAACTTTACAAATATTTACAAGCATTTTAAATAACCTTTCTAAATATTATCTCATTTGATCTTCACAAAAACCTTGCAATGTAGGTGCTATTATTATTATCTTTATTTTACAGTTAAGGAAACAGAAGCAAACATAAGTGATTTCCCCAGGGTCACACTGCTAGTAAGTGTCTAAAGCTGGATTTGAACTTTGGCTGGATCTGGGGCTGGAAGAGAAAGACTTAAAGCAAGGTGCCCAGTTAGAAGTTACAATGATCCACTTGAGAGATGCTGAGGACTTGATGGCTATGTGAGAGAAGGGTTTGGATATGAGAGATTTGTGTGGTTAGAAATGGCAAGACTTGGCAACTTTGTATATGTAGGATGAAAAAAGAGTAAAGAATCGAGGATGATGCCCAGGTTACAAACCTTTGACAGAATTAAAGAAGTCTGGAAGAAGGGTGGAGTTTTGAAAAAGATAATGAGTTCTGTTTTAGATTTGCTAAATTGGAACTGCCTTTAGGGATATCCAGTTGGAAATGTCCAACTGATGAAGCAGGACAGATGCTCATGGGCATGACTAGGGCTGTATATGGGATCTGTAAGTCATCAGTAAAGAGATAATTATTAAACCCATGGGAGATGAAGTGGTTACTAAGAGAGAGGATATAGAAAAAGAAGACCAAGATAGATCTTTGAGGAACATTCACATTTAGAGAGTACGATATGGTTGACAAACCATCAAAGGAGATTGAGGATAGTCAGACTAGTAGAAGGAGGATGAGAAGTGAGGAGCATCTTAAAAACCCAGACAGGGGATAGTATCCAGGAACAGAAGATATCAATAATGTTAAATGCAGTTGATGGGTTAAAAAGATGTAGACTAAAAAAAGACCAGTAAGAGTTGGTAATTTTTCAGGGTGGAGCCAAGATGCAGGAGTGAAAGCAGTGACTTGCTTGAGCTCTCCCCCAAACCCCTCCAAATACCTGTAAAAAAAAAACTCTAAACAAATTCTAAAGCAGCAGAATCCAGAAAAAGAGTGAAACAAATTTCCAGCCCAAGACAACCTGGATGGTTGATCAGAAAGGTATATCACGCCAATTTGGGGACAGAAGCGCAGTTTGGTGTGGGTGCGCAGGCCTCAAGGAACCTGGAGCAGGCCTCAGAGGGCTGAATCATGGGCAGCTGTGGCAGTTTCCAGACTTCTCAACCCGCAAACACCAAAGACAACTTAGAAGGTCAGTGGGAAAAGTCTGTGACTTTGGTGAGAGAAGAAGCTAGGTCTCAGCGGCAAGTCCTGAGCGCGGCCTCTGGGGCAGCGGCTGCCTCCTGAGCTCCTGGCCCACAGACTGAGGGGGAATCAAGTGGCTGATCAGAAGGGGATTGCAGGGATCTCATTGCCAGTGCTGAGGCAGGAATCTCTTCCTGTGCCCATACTTGGATCTGAGTCACAGTTCTGACGGGTGGTCCTGGGGTGAGGAGGAGTGCTGGCGTGGTGGAGCTTGTTGTGGCGGTGGAGAGGAAACACCTTGCCCCTCATCATACCACCTTGGAAAAACTGAAAATTTACAGGTCCCTAGAAGTATCTCTGAAAACAACTGTACAAACCCCCAAAGCTTGGGACAGTACATTCTCCACTTTGGAAGCAGACTCTTACCTTAACAAAAAGTTTAAAACTCAAGTAATTGGCTGGGATCATGAGTAAGCAGCACAAAAAGAGTCAAACTATATTATCTTACTTTGGTGACAAAAGAGATCAAAACATACAACCAGAAGAAGACAACAAAGTCAAAGCTCCTACATCCAAAGCCTCCAAGAAAAATATGAATCAGTCCCAGGCCTTGGAAGAGCTCAAAAGGGATTTTGAGAAGCAAGTAAGAAAAGTAGAGGGAAAACTGGGAAGAGAAATGAGAGTGATGCAAGAAAATCATGAAAAACAAGTCAACAGCTTGCTAAAGGAGACCCAAAAAAATGCTGAAGAAAATAACACCTTAACAAATAGCCTAACACAAATGGCAAAAGAGGTCCAAAAAGCCAATGAGG